AGGACTGTGCCCTCCATCTTGCTTTGGGTCCTCCATTTTGGGACAGTGCCATGTGCTTCTTCACCAGAAAAAGCCGCTGCTAGACACACCCAGAATTTCTCTGGACTAACCAATAATAATCAAGGGAAGTGCACGCCATCACTATGACCACATCCTGTACCGACTCACGCCTGGCCAATCAGCGGGGCCCACAGTCCCCTCTCCTGCCCTCACTCCACCCCCCTATATAACCCCCTGTCCCATCAGGCCTCGGTCTCTTGGCCACTGGACTTTCCGCTGTGTTAGTGGGTCTGGTGAACCGGGAGCGCAACCCGGCTTGCATTAAAGACTCTTTGCTTTTGCATCGGACTGACTGGCTCCCTGGTGGTCTTGGGAACTTTGAAATCTGGGCACAACAGGAAGCTGAATCTGAAGAGGCAGACATTATTTCCAGAAAGTAAGTTCAGGGAATTGAATGGGTGGGGAAATGGCCACGATTCTGTATAGAGGAGGTAGAAAGAGAATGAGTGTATAAGAAGAAAAGGAAAAAAAAACTAAAAAAATTGAAAAGTATATATATATTAAATATACATATAAAAGAAAACACACACACACACACACACACACATACAGTGGCCAGATTATTATGATGTTTGTAGGCAAGTTAGCCTTAATTTCACACTGAAGTTTCTAGAGGGCCAGACAAAAAATAATATAATTTCCTTTCCTTAATCTATGTATTCATCTATTTTTGGAAAAGGAGGATAGAGAGTAGATAGGCCTGAGTTGGTGATTGAAACTAATTAAGCTATTATAGAAGAAGAGAACAAGCAAGGAGAGGAAAAACAGAAGCATAAAATTTTTTTAAAAACCCAGAAAAAAACAAACAAACAGCAATAAGACAGAAAGAAAGAAAAAAAAGAGAAAAAATTGGCTAGTGAAGAAAAAGAAAAGAGAAGTGTTCATGGTCTTTGAGCAAAGGAGAGGAAATTAGATATATGAGTAAGATCTATTTTTAACAGGGAGTAAAGAGAAAGGGTAGAGAAAAACTAAAGCAGAAAAAGGGTAAGAAAAACAGGATGAAAAAGGGGAAAAGTGAGAAAGAAAGTGTTGGCATAAAGGAAAAATTGAGATAGAGTAAAATAATGCTAAAGTAAAAATAGAATGTAGAACACTAATCCAAAAATAATAATAATAATAACATTTTTAAAAATATATTTTATTGATTTTAGAGAGAACGGGAGAGGGAGAGAGAAACAGAAACATCAATGATGAGAGAGGGTCATTGATTGGCTGCCTCCTGCTGGCCCCCTACTGGGGAATGAGCCCACAATCTGAGCATCTGCCTGACTGGGAATTGAACTATGACCTCCTGGTTCATAGGTCAGTGCTCAGCCATTGAGCCATGCTGGCTGGGTTTTGATAACAGCCATCCTAATGGGTGTGAAGTGGTATCTTACTGTGGTTTTGATTTGCATTTCCCAGTGACTAACAATGTTGAGCATCTTTTCATGTGTCTGTTGACTATATGTATATCTTCTTTGGATAAATTCCTTATTCAGATCCTGTACCCACTTTTTAATTATAAAAATCTATAATAATAAAAGCTTAATATGCTAATTAGACCAGACATCCTTCCAATGTCCTTCCAGATGAAGTGGGGCTGTGAGGGAAGCCTGGGTCCTGGGTGCCAGAGGGAAGCTGCTACCAGCAGCCAGGGGAAGGAAGGCCTATTCTTGCATGAATTTTATGTATCAGGCCTCTAGTACAATAATTAAAAAGTGAGAAAAATAATAATAATAATTTAGTTACTTAAGAAACTAAAGTGAATAGTTTCTTTTTTTAAAAATATATTTTATTCGTTTTTTACAGAGAGGAAGGGAGAGGAATAGAGAGTTAGAAACATCAATGAGAGAGAAACATTGATCAGCTGTCTCCTGCACACCTCCCACTGGGGATGCGCCCACAACCAAGGCACATGCCCTTCACCGGAATCAAACCCTGGGACCTTTTGTCCACAGGCTGACGCTCTATCCCAGCCGTGGGCAAACACCCATTGTGGCCCTCGAGTCAAAAAGTTTGCCCACCCCTGCTCTATCCACTGAGCCAAACCAGTTAGGGCTACTTTCATTTCTTAAGTAAAAGATAAAAAAAATAAAAGAGTGAAGTAGTGAAGTTTGTTTGCTTCAGCGGACATTCAGTGACCCATGGGGGCTGTTTTAAGACCCCTCTCTACTGTTCTGCCTGGCACCTCTGTTTCCTGTCAGATAGTCAGCACAGTGTTGAAGTTCCCAGTGATCCACCGCTCCTCTGAGTCATAAGCCACAACCTTGGTTTCAAGCAGGCAGAATCACTCTGCTCACTTTGTTTCTCTGCCTGCCTTCAGTTGTATTTACACAAGCATCTATTTCTGACACAACCCCTGGGTGGCGGTCTTTCCAGGACTAAATGGCTTCTCAACCCAGGTCCCCAGGGCTCCCTGGGGGGGTTTAGACTCTTCCTTTCCCTGCCGTACTCAAGACTGGGTTGGAAGGACGGACCGTCTCAGAGCTGGTTTCCTGCTCATCTCTCCCTATTCTGCTCTCAAGTTTCCACAAAAACCACCTTCCCCTGCAGCCTTGGTGAGTGTTTTTAATTGGAAGATCCTATGTACGGGGCTTTGCAAGCAAAAGAAGGAAGTCAAAAAGACAAAGCAAGCACGCCGCCTTGCATCTTTCTCCCCCCAGCAATGTGTGGCCGGTATAAAACTTCAGGCTGCCTTTCTGGGCACAGTCTCCCACGGCTGTGAGCTTAGATCTAGAGTCCCCCGTTGCCAGCTGTCTGGTGGACCCCCTTCGAGGATACATTCGAGGGCTACACTAACCCCAAAGACCGTGGATTTGGTGCAGCGCACTCCCCCTGTGGGATTCTAGTCCCAGCTGCATGCGTTTCTCCCTCCAGCCCTGAACACAGATAACACCTCTCTCCAGGCAATCTCTGACCTATCCATCCATGGATTGCCTCACCAGCTGTGTTTAATTTGCCAATTCCAGGTGGATGTTATTCAATTCAGCTGT